GCGAGACCTCATCTCTACAATAAATCAAAAAATCAGCCGGGCATGGTAGCGCATGCCTGTAATTCCGGCTACTCGGAAGGCTGAGGCGAAAGGATCGCCGGAGCCCAGCAGGTCGAGGCTGCGGTGGCCGGGAGTGGCCACTGCACTCCAGTCTGGGCAACCGAGTGAGACTCCAACTCAAAAATAAATAAATTAATTAAATAAATCAAAAATTAGCCAGGTGTGATGGTGCACGTCTGTAATTCCAGCTACTTGGAAGGCTGAGGTGGAAGGAGTGCCTGCGCCCAGCAGGTCAAGGCTACAGTGGCCATGAGTATGCCACTGCACTCTAGCCTGGATGACAAAGTGAGACTCTAACTCAAAAAAAAAAAAACAAAAAGAATGAGGTTTTGCTGAATGACAGTGTTCCTACCAATTTTGCAGAGGAATACTAAAATTTTAGGTAACAGACCTAAAAGATAAAATCCTTATAATATATACCATTTACTTGTCAACATTAAATTTCCTCATTCAGCGATTATATCACATCCTGCAAAGGCCACAGAAACAGTTAGATTTTCTTTTTAAGTATTTAAGCAGATATCTAGGGATGTGTTTGGTTTCATATTACCATATGTACAAATTTCTCTTACATGGTTTCTCAGAGGGGAAAAGGGAAGGAAGGGGAAGAGAGGGGAGAGATGGGGCGGAGAGGGGAAGGAAAGGGAGAAAAGAGAGGGACATGTTCCCTTGAAAATTGCTCAGATGTTTTTCTTCCTTGGTCTTCCTTTATGCCTCTCCCAAGACTACAGACACAACTATAACGGAAGTAAAAAACTGGCTCTAGGGCGTGGTAGCGTATGCCTGTAATTCCGGCTACTCGGAAGGCTGAGGCAGAAGGATCGCCACAGCCCAGCAGGTCGAGGCTGCGATGGCTGGGAGTGGCCACTGCACTCCAGTCTCCAACTCAAAAAAAAAAAAACAAAAAACTGGCTCTAGTTGTTTCACTGGTGCTTCTAACTTTTTCAGTTTGCCTAGATTTTGTAACACAAGGCAAAAACACAGGGTTGTCCTAAGGGAGACAGTAAAGAAAATACTCCTTCCACTAGTCAGATGTGTGGCCTTGGGAAGTCACCTGACCCTTGTGATATGTATTGACTCATCTAGCAGATGGTGATTTTTTTATTTTATTTTTTTGAATTGGAGTCTCACTCTGTCGCCCAGGCTGGAGTGCAGTGGCACACTCATGGCCATCCCAGGGTCGACCTGCTGGGCTCCAACAATCCTTCCACCTCAGCCTTCCAAGTTGCCGGAACACAGGTGCATGCAACCATGCCTGGCTAATTTTTTATTTATTGTAGAGATGAGGTCTTACCAAGTTGCCTGGGCTGGTCTCAAGCCCACAGACTCAGGCAATCTACTCACCTCGGCCTCCCAAAGTGCTGGGATTACAGATTGAGTCACCAAGCCCGGTCTGAATTGTGTTACTTCTAAGCAAAAGTGATATTAAATGAGAGAAGTATGAACTAATTGAGCAGAGGGTTTTTCAAGATTTCACCAGTGAGGAAGATTCAGGACCAACTGGTAGGTAGAAGGTCAAAAGCAAATCTAGATTTGATTCTCAGCTCTGCTACCTGAATTCCTGAGACTATATTTATAATATGTAATAGATATTATATTATGTGTGATATAATATATAAATATAAAATATATAGCATATAAAATATATATTTATTTATTGATTCTAGAGATCAAGCAATTACAGCAATGACTTGACCTTGTAGGCATGGGCATAAATCTCATTCCTGAGTTGGCCTTGGAGATGATTCTGTCCAACTTCTTAATCGATGCAAGAATGTTTTATCTAGTTTCCATGGCGCATGGTCATATACAGCAGGCTTGAATACTTCAATGTCAGAAAACATGAGCAATGACCTTAGCAGGAGCTGCCCATTCCATTACGGGATGACTCTGATTGCCAGAAAGTCATCATGTATCAAAGGGAACCTGCCTTATGCTGACTTCCATCTACTAACACTGAACACAGAATAAGCTTATCTTGATGTGGCCAAGTCTTCAATTTTGCTAATGAAATATTCACAGCTTCAATCCCTATGTGGATAAATTAGTTTTGAACGGTGAAAACCTGTTTTTTAATCAGAGGCAATAGTTGGCTATTGGCAAATTCTGGTTTGGGGCTAAGATTCCAAGATCACATTGACAAAACCCATCACCATCCCAGAAAAAGAGATTAAGAGTACACACCCACCCTACTAATGGGGTAAAAGAAGACTCACCATTGTATGCTGGAAACAATATTTTGATTCTGTATTTTACTAACATACAGAAAATGGGAGTGGCTTTACTTTAGTTGCCTAAGGCAGGAAGCTGGGAGGTATACCCAGCTCTACCCATTCTCTCTTCCACCAAGTCTAATGGGTGACCAAATGCCATCAGTCCCACCTCCAAGATGTTTCTAAGACCTAGCACCTCTTCTCCATCACCACAGGCTCAGCTCAGGACTTTCTTATCTCATCTGGACCATACTGGACCAATACTGACCTCCACAAAGCATGGGGCTTTTGCCTATCCTATCCACTGCTGTATCCCCAGCACTGAGAACATCACTAGCCACATGGAAGGACTAGCTCAGTAAATATGTGTTGAATACATTTTAACAGCTTCCTAAGTGGCCAGCTTTCCTCCCTTTCCACTTCAGTCCAGTTGCCTTTGTGGTTTCTCTTGTAACATGAGGTCATTTCCCTGAGTCCATCTTCCCCATACAAGACAGTTTCAGCCTCTTAGCAAGATAAACGTGGTTTTTCAGGGTGTGGTCAATATACCCACCACAGTCATCTCCTGCCACCAAACCACTCATACCCAAGGCACGTTAAAGAGTTCACAGTTCCTTGCACTCTTTGGTCTTTAAATCCTTGACTTTTCTCTGTCTTCTTCCTGAAACACCTGGCTCCCCTTGTGCCCTGGCAAACGTCCACTGGACAGATCAAGGTCCAGCTTAACTATGATGTCCTGTGTCAAAAGAACTGTTCCTTCCTTTGAGTACCCAAAAGTACTTTGCATTTCCACCCCCTTGGCCCTTTTCAAAATTATGCCGGTCTATTTTCTCTCATATTACTCTCACTAGAGACTGGCACACAGCAGGCTCTCAGTAAATGTTTTCTGAAATGAAAGGAAAATATACTATAATGAGATATTTTTAAGTCTAATACCTGTAAAATGCCTTCTGCTGTGTAGGTGACAAACCCAGCATGCTAGTATCATCACAAGTTTTTCTATAGTTCTGTGGCATTCATTTCCAGATTCCTGAAATCAACTTTTCAAACTTATTTGAAAAAACTTAAATTGCTTTTTAAAAATATCACTGCAAGCCGGGCTCGGTGGCTCAGTCTGTAATCCCGCGCCTTTGGGAGGCTGAGGTGAGTGGATTGCCTGAGCCCACGGGTTCGAGACCCGCCTGGGCAGCGAGACCTCACCTCTACAATAAATCAAAAAATCAGCCGGGCGTGGTAGCGCATGCCTGTAATTCCGGCTACTTGGAAGGCTGAGGCGGAAGGATCGCCGGAGCCCAGCAGGTCGAGGCTGCAGTGGCTGGAAGCGGCCACTGCACTCCAGTCTGGGTGATAGAGTGAGACTC